ACAAATCGGTAAATATTTGTACTGGTATTTACTTTTATATAACAAATCAAAATTTGTATATGATGCATGTTTTAAAGATGACGATCAGCTAATTCGCAATTAGTATGTACGGGTGTTGTATTTATACGATAAATACTTACTTTGAAAAATTTTAAATTCCGCTGCTTAAAGCCCGTACGGTACTAGCGAACCTAACACCCACGACCAGCCAACGAGCCCGACGTGGAGAATGAAGCACGTCTTGATGTGCGCGCAGCTCTATTCGCACGCGTCTGTTGCCGCCGTGAAAGGGAGGCGGCAATGGAGGCCACCAGCGGCTCCGGTAGTGTAGCCGAGCACGTCTCTGACAGCTATGAAGAAGGCAAAGAGTCCTCTCCCGTGCGTTGATGAATGTTCTGTTGAGCGTAGATGGACATGGCTTTTTCCGATGAAGGCGAAGGTGACCTGACCCACGGCTTTTCCCTTCTTTTTGTACAGAGATTGTCTCCACTGTCTGCCAACTCTCATTGTATTAGAAGTCTCCATGTTAGTAGATCGCATGACTAGGACAATGCAAACAGTGAATGTGAGATTTGTGAGATTGGGAGTTAGCATCTTATGTGGTAGTTTGTGTTTCGTCACGGGAGATACACTGTGTGTGTCGACCCATACTTTTATCGCATCATGCTCGTACGTGAAACCATCAGCGGCTACATAGGGATTATCCATTATATCCTGAGTCCAAATGAACAAGCAATTAAAAGGCAGAGATAAAGGTACCCATCACATTTATTAAAAATAAATGTCAATATTAAATTGAGAACAGTCAGTAACATCTAGAAAAGTTAAGGGGATGTAATTATTCTTTGAATCTTAAAAAATGAATCTTCGAGCCATTTATTCTTTGAATGTACCTTTAGCTCGAAGATTTGGGGTGATATCCGTACTTGGGTTAGCCTCCGACATAGACCGTCTACACTCAAAGGAGCTCTCAAATGGATCAAGAAGGAGGCAAGAGGGAGGGGTTGACAAACCAAGTTGAAGAAAGCGGCGCTCTCGGCCACCGTATACTTCATTTGGAATGCTAGGAGTCGGTTGGTGTTTGAGAATGATTACAAGGCCCGAGCCTTGTAAACCGCAAGGTAAAAACCCATGTTTATCGAACTATTTTTGCATCTTATCCGAATGTGCTTGTTGAATTTGAGAAGAGGAGTCTTTGCTCTGTACTCTATTGAGCTTGTTGAGTTTGTGATGCGGCGCCTCGGACTTGATGAGGGTTGCGAAAGAGCGCCAAATTTCACCACTCTAAGGCTGGACGAGAGTCGCGCCCGAAAAACGCGAGTCGCGGAAGCTGCACGCGAGTCGCGACTGAAAGACTCCCTGCTGCACAGACTGCTCTGTATTTGGCCGCGAGTCGCGGACTGCAGCTACCACTGGTATGGACTACTCTGAAGTTGGCCGCGACTCGCGACTAACACCCGCGAGTCGCGGCAGCATGAATTAACCCTATGTTTTTGGCTCGTTTGGATCCGTACGAACTTGGTTTCCAATTCTGTTTTTTCCTACATGTAGCCAACGAAGCCTTATACGAGACCTATAAATGACTTATTGCATTTTGTTTTTAGCAACTGAGAGTGACCAACCGACTTGTGGTTGGCCTCGTATAGCTTTATCTTGCGAATGAGGAACTGAATTTGTGGTTTCCCATTACGCTTTTGTAAGCCGTATCGATTGACCGAACCAGTTTTGATCTATATATTTACATTTAATGATAACAAAGAAGGGGATGTAATTATAAAATGTTTAATGACATTGTATGAAATGTAATTTGGTCAAAACCTCAAGGGAGGATTTTCTAGTTATACACAACAGAATTTTGTATTTTCTTTTCACCTGAAGTATTGGGCGGTAGTAGTGTTTAGGTGCCCGTCCGTGATCCCTCTCGCTCGAGCCAATAGAACTAGAAAATTCAGCAAGCCTTTTCAAAACTGGCAAAACCCCGGCCTAGATGGTTGGCAGCAGATGGAGAGGGAGGCGCGCTAGTTGGTTGGCAGACGTTCTGTTTCATTTTCTTTTTTCTTTTTCTTTTTTTTTTTAATTTTTTCATATACACATTTCCTAAAATGCCCTAAAAAATCAGTCTTCTTTTAGTCAAAACTACTTTATATCTGGTTTAGTGGGCAAAATGAGAAA